ATGGGACCAGCTTTATAATTGTTTTTCGCACTTTTCGTAATCCCGAGAGAGCCTCGGGAATCGTCGTCAGCGCTAGTGTATCCATTTCTTTCGTTTTGTGCGAAATTTCGCGGAAGTAGGGGTATAATTTTTTTAGTGCAAACTTTTAGGGGATGTCACTCAGGATATTACAAATGTCAGTTTTAGGGAAAATGGCTGCCCCCATGCAGACTTCGAGAGTATGTGTACGCAGCAAACTTAGCAGCATTTTTTATGTTTTCAATGAGTCTATGTCGTCAGAAAGTGAACTTAGCGATTCTAACGACCCAGAATTTGTGCCTGAGAGGCGCAAAAGGCCTGACAGTGATATTTCTGTTAGTAAAGGTGTAACTTAGTGTAAGTAGATCTGGTGTGAGTAAAGGAAAGGTAAAGCTAAAAAAAATTCTTGAGAAAACCAAAATTCATATATATGCTTTTCAAAAATTCATTTTTTTTAAAAAGTATAAAAGATACAGCATTCAAATTTGTTTTACTTGAAAGAACACAAATGTCTCTTACTTATGTGAAAAGGTCAGAGCAATTGAACAATTTTGAGTAAAGTTATTATTTTTTAAAATACCCCCAAAAACCTAAGTGTTCAGGGGTTGTGCGCCTTGCGAGACCTCGGTCTTCAGTGAGTTAAGTGCGATTTTGGACAAAATAGTTCTGTGGTGATGAAATTCTGATGAATATCTGTAATTATTTTACATTGTTATAGTAAATAAATTCAGAAGAATCACTACAAGTAGGCCTACAAACTGTTAGGTTCCTAGTTTACCATGATTTCTGTGAAAGCATTCTTGAAGTAACAATGAGAGGGTGCACAGACGACTGTAATAAAGACATGCTAAATAATTATATTCAGAAATTATGAATGGATCTGACATTGTCATGAAAAGTTGTTGCAGCTTAGATAAATATTTGGATCAGACGAGTTTCTTTGAGTAAAGAGAAGCACATCGACACAATAAATGTCCTTTAGTGCAATGATAAAGTAAGACTGACAGACAGAAACAACAGAGGGAAAGAAGTTGGACCTCCTGCCAACTCAAATAAGGGTAGAGAAATAGAACCCGAAACATGATGACATTTCCTCAAAACTATCAAACTAAAGTAGAAGAGCTCTTCACCTTGAGAATATACTTGTTGTCACGGGAGACAAGAGAAGCCGTTACCATGGAGACGGCAGCGCCGGGCTTCACCTCCACAGGCTCCAGGGTACTGGCCAGCTAAGGAAAACAGAACAGTTTTAGTGAGAGTTTGTTTTGTTTTAGTAGAGGTTTTACAGCGATCGCAACTGCATAGGGTCATGAGCTCCAAGGGGGGGATGTCAACAGAGAAGTCCTTACAGGGAATCAGACTTACTCTGATCACCTCTCTAGCTTCAGCAGCACAAAGTCTTCTTTGACTATCAAGGCACCCCGGAAATAGCGGGTCACAAGAGTGACAAACATACAACAGAAGCAAAGGAAAATGACGATAGCAAGGATTAGGAAAGAAAAAGCAGCAGTACCCTGTTGTAGTTCAGGCACAGTTATGAGCGTGACATTGTTAGATAAGCCCATGTATAAATGTAGCCCAAATATTTAGGCTATAATATGTAGCCCAAATAAGAACTTTCTTATAGGAAACACTCAAAACAAACATATCTCTCACAACTGAGACGACAGGTGATATTTATAGCAACAGAAGAAAGACTAGAAGCCCACATCCAGTGGAAGAACAAAAGCACAGAGAACTACAGGTGGACCCACGATGATTTCGGCGTTATTGTCTCACCTCAGATTCCATTTCCACCGTCTCGAATTGGCGTTTGACGGGTAAAGACAAGACTTCTCCTTGCTTGTAGGTCAGTGGTGATGGCTCCTGGGAAAGAAAAAGAAATGTTTCATGACAGCCGCTTTACTATCTTTCGTAGCCTACTAGCGAAAAGAAGATCTAATAATATGTGTCACGACGCGGTGGAATCAGGCTCTCATTAATTTTGGGGCATGTAGAGTTATTGATATCATCTTAAAGCTTGTTCATTTGTCTTGTTTTGGATGAACAAAATATTTATTCAATTTGAACAGAAGTCGAGATGTTAGATAATGAAGAAGGTGGGGGTCACCTGGTTTCAGAGGTAACATTAGTGAGAAAATGGCCGCCAGAGATAAGTTATTTCCTTTGCATGAGAGGTCGTGGAAACTGAAAGTTTACATTCTTTGAGCCTTTAATAATGGCTTTTTAGGATAATACACACATACAAATGTGTTCTTTGATGGGCATGAAAGGTGTTGAGCAAAAAAAAACAAAAAAAAAACGAAAATTCGCTAAAAATTCATAAAAATTTTGAAATTATGCAAACTGAGCCCAAAAATGTGAAATTATGCTATGCTGTTAATTTTAACAAAGAATGACAAAGGAAAATAATCAGAAATTATGCAAAAAATGATCAAATTTTGCTAAATTAAGCGCGGTGCATAAAGAAATAACTCGTTCCCTGAGCTCGTTGAACAACATTACTGCACTTACAAACTCTATAGTGAGGTCATTCCTCAGAGGTTCCAGGACGGGCGGCTTCATGTAGGTCTCCGACACCACCAGGTGCAGGGGTCGGAGGTCACGGATCAGCTTGTTGGCTTGGGAGAAGTTCAAACTGGTGTCAATGGGACAGTAGCAAACCTGCGTTGGTGGGAAGACAAAAAAATAAATATAGGCTTACATCTAAAAATAACTCTGGAGGTGTCATCTTTGACTCAAGGGGTCGCCGTGTAATGACTCTTCAGCCTTCAAGGTCGCGAGCTTCCGCTGCACATTCTACTATACCCAGGCCAGTTCATGTCTTAATGACTTAATGTTGTCCATCCATGTTAATCTATGTCTACCCCTGGCTCTCCTGCCCCACATCCTTCCTTTAACCACCTTTTTCAAAATGGTCTGGTGTCATTAAAAAAACCCCAAACAAACTAAAATAGGAACTAAATGAGGAGAGCTAGATCTAGATGGGTTTTTTTTTTTTCATGCAATACTGAGCAGCAAAAAAATAGGATAGTGAAAAATACTGAGCCTAAAAATTAGGACAATAAAAGTCATTATGTTTAAAACAAAATAATTTGGACAATAAAAAATCAGTGATGTGAAACAAAATGAGACAGTGACGCCTATTATGATGTCCAGCATAACTACCTTTCCTGAGAACAGTTAACTATCTCTTTTAGTCTTAGTAAGAGTTTTACGGCACTTGAAACACAATAAGGTCATATAAGTGCTGAAGGTTAGAGGTGTTACAAGAGAGTAACAAACACAAAAAAGGAGGAGAGATCAGGACAATAGATGTTTGATAGGAAAGAAGGAGCAAACCACACCAGAACACCTGCCAACCACCCACTAAAAATCTCCAAAGCAGAAAACATTCCCACTGTTGGCAACTGGGGAACTTAAAGAACCCATTGTGATGCTCAAGAAAAACAAAGCTTTACTCTATGGCTAACTATAACCTACATCCAGGCCAGGCACCACTAAGGCATTGGGCTCTCGTGGCAGACGACAGAACCTTGCTAGAGAGCAAGAAAGGAATTGAAAGGAGACAATTTATTTTAGAGAAGACTGAAGAAAATTTCCCGTCGCTATCCGGATTCGAACCTGTGACCTATTGAATGAGAGGCGAACACCATAGTTAAGTGGTTCGGAAGTTTTAGGCGGCCAAAGTGACGAACTTTCACAAATATAATATACTAACTGGGTACCCCGTTCAAGGAACAGTCTCAAAAGAATCGATCGTCAAGTCAATGTGGGTTCAGAGC